TTCATTCATTCATTCATTCATTCATTCATTCATTCATTCATTCCCCCACTCACAGTTTACTCACAAGCATCCATGCTGGCATTCCAGCTGCCTGGCTAATTGAGCTACACCCTGGTGTTTTCAAGGATGTGCCAACATCCAGAGGCAGCCTCACCCCACCCAGGCCCTTAGCTTACAAACACAAACACTGAGCCAGAATGTGTGTGGGTGTGTAGGAGAAAAGGAGGTAGGAAACCGGCAAGGAGATGAGGAAGCTGGAGGCGGCATTTGGAGATTGACGACTATTACAGGCAGGCAAGAGGACTATCAGTCAACTGCCAGGACCACAAGCTATGGTAAGCAGCATAGCCTGGTGGGGGTCCTGCCAGAGCTTGGCTTGGGAGCTCAGCTGGAGTGCCCAAAAGCAGCACTGCTTAAGAGCAGAGTTTGCAGCTTGGCCTGGAGCTCGGCAGCAACCAGAAAAGGAGCAACCACCCTGAGGCAGCACCTCATCCTCATCAGTGCAAGAACTTTTGGAGGGAGGCCAAAGTTGTCTGCCACCTTACAGACTTTGAGACTTTTGTTTGCTTTAAAGACTGGGTATTAAAAACTGAGTATTAAAGATGTATTTATGTGGCTACATCAACCTGCAAGGCCTAGGAGGGTGGAGTTAACCCAGAGCAATAGCCTATTGTTAGGGAAGGTGTATGCCACAATAAAGCATTGTGTACTGATGTGCTATGCTGTGGTGTGTCCAGTCCTTGGAAAGCAAAGAACCTTCACAGGGACTTTGGGCCAGACCCTCTCTTTCAGCTCTAGGAAGAAGGCAATTCCAAAAATCTTGCCAAGAAAACTGCAGGGATAGTCCAGGCAGTCACGAGGAGTCAGCACTGAGTCCAAGACACCCCAAAGCCCCAAAAACTCTGAAAAAGAGTTTTGATGGGTGAATTTCAGTGAGTCCATTTTACTTCTATATAGGATTCCTTCCTTTTTTAAAAAAACAGGATGATATTCCTTTGCCATTCCCCTCCTATAACTTGCCAAGGAAGGATTAGTTAAGCATGTTTTAGATGTGATTCAGTTGCATTCTCCAGGATTTCAGTTGTTACCAGAAGAAATAAATGAAGGTCAGTCGGCCTTTATCCATCTGCTAGAAAGTAGCCATGTTTGTCTGTTGCTGCATGCCTCATACAGAGATTGCAAAAAAAGATTTAAATGAGTCAAAAAGGAGAACCCAGATAATCCACAATCACTGCATCAAGTTAGACAAAAACATATGAATAAACCTGTGAACTAAATGTATATCCTGTGTGGTACTTTCAGTTATATTGACCACCAGGAGGCACTCCATTACTATTTTCATCCTTACTGGGAATCAGATGTGGATAGCCAGATGTTATTCTATGGGATTCAAGCTCTCTACTCACAGACCTTTGCACTTTAGATGACTATATGCAGTGCCTTCTTATACCTTCTCAGAGGACGGAGATACAGATGTTATCTTGTATCATGCCCCCAAGTGTAGGGTTTTACATCATATACACCATGGTGCAGTATAACATCTGTATGTCTCTACTCTGACAGCTTAGGGGAAAGTAGATTGTATGTGCCATTCTGAGACCCTGCGGACTAAACTGGAACTAGGCATGACTATAGCATGATTGCTACAGCACAAATTATGATCCAAATAGAAAACAAAAAACCCTTATTTTAAGATGAGTAAAGTATGAGCACAACAATGGGGATTTGACAATGGGAACATTAGTACAAATCAGGCCTGTTTAACAAGCAATGAAATTGGGACACCTTTTGTTTTATGTCCTTATTCTGAAAATAAATTTGTATTTTTATCAAGGAATAAAATGATTCCAATTTAGTTGCAGTTTCCCTTCAGCTGAAGTATTCCAAGAATGCTACTTTTCCCCTATCAATTACCCCTGGGACTTTGGTATGCTGATAAAATCTAGTAACTATCAAGTGGAGATTGACAGGGATGTATAACACACAGTCCTGGGTAATTAACAATAAATTACATGAAAATTCAGATTACATTGTTTCACGGGATGTAAAGTCACGAACAAAATTAAAATTAAATTAAATACTTCATAGTGAATTAACGGTTTCTATATTTTTATTATTGACTCTTTTCCTTTGCTAGCTCTATTGTGGAAATTCTCTAATATGACAAAAGACAATCCAAACAGAAAGGCTTTTGCCTAATGATGAAACATCATAAGAAAAAGGGACAGAGAAAGGAGTACTACAATTTAGATATGGTCATTAGAAAGATTCTTTGTTTCATACCCATGAACTGAATCATTATCATAGTTAGGAAAAAGAAAAGGACCTCTCCACCATTTTTTCTGCCATGGCCAAGCTAGCAAGAAAGGTTATATTTTCCTAGACTGTGAGGAAACTGATACATACCTTATGGAACTGAGGTATGTCATGTGGAGAAGATACTTTCACATCTTCAACGTTGACCCCAAATCAACTATTCCTTTTGAATTTTCCCACTAAGTTCCTAACAAATATTCTAGCTTGTCTTGTTACAAGATTTGTCTGTATGGAGGCATTGTCTTTTACCCGCAATGCTCAGTACTACTATCTCCACCCCCAGCAAAGAAAAACATTGTGTCTGACATTTTTTTTAGCATTTTCAAGGTGGGTGGAAAAACAGAAAAATGTTTCTATTTTGCAGCACTTCAAACAAGATGCTGGGGAATAAGGAGCAGGGAAATTGATTGTTCATTTAGCTTCTGCCTGCTCTCTCCCCCGCCCCGCCCCACACCCCAACTGTGGATCCTCATTGTCTCATATGACAGTAATTCCTGCCCTTAACTTTAAGGTTACTGGAGAACCATGCTGTGGCCCTAGTGCTACTGCTGAAGGAGATAGCAGCGTGTCCCAACAAGCATAGACTTAAGGGCAGGGATCACCATCGTGCAGGTTACCAGGTAGAAATACTGACCTTGTGGAATACCTTTGACCAGGTTGGTATTCATAACAGAGCCAAAAGGAAAAGAAAAACTGAAAAACTAGCTCTCTCTGCTAGTCATAGAAGAAATGGCCACAGAGGAACAGAATTCTATAGCCAGATGGGAGGGAACAGTCCTAGATTTCTGCCTGGATCACCTTGACCCAGCTTAGGTCTGCTTTAATGACAGGCTGGGTCTGAAATGGAGGCTCTGGGGTGAAATTATGTACTCAGTGACTGATAAATAGGCCACCTCAGAGCTGGAGCAAGGGAGCTGTGTAGATGACCCCAAAGTCTCTTTGACACCATCTTTGTATTATTTCAGTGTCTGTCGCAACGCTTTCCTTTGCTTTTATTTCTGCAGTTATTGTATGTGACTAGCTTATGTGGGCATTAGGCCTGCTGTTATTAACTTCCCATATAGCAAGATCCATAGCATCAGCAATTAGACATAACAGCAGGTTATAAATGAAATAAATTGTTTATTCCATTCCCTGCCAAAGTGATTTAAAAGTTATCTAAGTTTACCAAATTTCAAAGGCAGTAGGTTATGTTGAACTTTCATTCAATCTTGTGTCTATACCTACAATATATCTGTATCCATATTTTCCTCCTCCTGGATGCTTGCATTATTGGTCAAGCGAGACAATGAAATTACCACTTACTACCATCATGTTAGAAATGTTTACAGGACAGTGTGAACAAAGTGTGAGATAAATGTATTTTTTTAGGGAACATTTTTGAGTTGAATTTTCTGCATTCACTTGTTTTGCTTTTTCCAGTTCTCAAACATGGTTTCTCTTTATTAGTTCTCTTATTCTATTTTCCCTTTGTTTTTATTTAAAGCTAAGCCTCACTGGGTTCAACTGATAAAAGATTTTGAAGCTGCAGTGGAGGACAGCATATACTGGGAGTGCAGAGCAAGTGGTAAACCCAAGCCTTCTTACAGGTGGCTGAGAAATGGAGAACCTCTAGCATTAGAGGTAACGTGCCTTTGTTCACCTTGTTTTGAAAGCAATTTGTACAGTCATATTGACTGCACACTAGTAACCTGTTGAGTCCACCCAAGTACTGTAATTCAAAAAGAGTTAGTTTATAATAGTAGTCTCTGTCAAGCAGCTTCTGGGCAATTCAAGAGTTATCAGTAAGAAATTGGTGCTGTGGCAAATTTCTTCTGCATTTTTTTTTTTTAAATTAGGCATCTTCCTTTTGATGGGAGAGGGGAAGAAATCAAAGGAATTTTCAAGGAGGCTGAGAAATATGTATGTGAATTTTTGTTTTTCATTATTTAATCTTCTCTCCAGCGTTTTCAGATGCTTGTCTTCCTGTGTTAAAGCATGAGAGAAGAAGGCATCTTAAGGGAACTGCTCAACGGCTGTTTTTCAGAACAGGAAGCATGAGCAGTCAGGGAGGCTTCCATGTAATGAAGTTATATATAACAGAATACAAAAACACCAGCTGCTTCTGCCATGTTGCAACATTGTTCAGATGCAGCATTGAAGCAAGCTGCAAAACATTGCCGAAAGGCATTCTAAAGAAAGGTTCATGAATTCTGAAAATACCAGTAAAATGAAAAAACAGAAACTTGTTTGCAGTGGGAAAAGTATTTGTTTGGTATGCTTTAAATTGAATTAGTCCATGGAGCAGGGTGATAATCAAAATGACCCCAGTCAAATCTATCATGATATAATTCAGAGAAATTGACAGATAGCTTTAGTTTAAAAAAAAATAAATAAATGGGAAAGGGAAAAGGCAGATAGAAGGGCATCGATTTAGGCAACTTTTTGGCAGTAGTCATGAACATCACAGTGTTCCCAAGACAGCTATTTAGGCAAACTACAGAAAACAATAGTTAAAACTTAAAAATTTTAAAACTTTTTTTTAAAAAAACTTAAAAGTTCTGCAGAGTTTGTCGTCAGAACCCTCTCTCTCTCGTCCTATGTGTATGAGACTAAAATTAAAATCTTATGTGATGTTACACATTTTATTTAATGTTTTTTACCTGTATTGTAGCATGATAAAGTAAACTTAATTTCTTTTATAACAAAAAGATGTTTGTTCAGTACCAGTATTTTGAAATAAAGTTGGGAAGTTATGAAAAAGAATTGTCAGGGCCTCCCCAAATTGAAACAGTACCTTTAAATCATTTCTACTGTGATTGACATTTAAGAAACTGTTTAGTGCACTAGCCATGAGAAGAAAAAAATGCTGTCCTTCCAGAATAGCACAGGAGAAGAGGGAAGCACCCATTCTCCAGTCCTGATGGGTGAATGTTACCCATCTTCAAAGTCTTGGAAAGAGAGGGCCATAAAGCAAAAATAAAAGGATGGTCAAGCAAAATGAGGCTATGTTCTGTTTAGCTTATTTCCATGTGCTGGTAAAGGTAATTTCTGGGTCACTAAGACTTATTAGATCCATTGTATAAATAAGTTATATTTCTTGACGTTAATTTCCATTAACATATTTGGTACAGCATTATATTTTCTTCTGTCCTCTCGCCTGTATATATGCAGATAATCCATAAATAAATCTCTTCAGTTTATTAACTTCAGCTCATTATGACCTTGGATAAATTTGATATATCAAAATTAGCATCATTCTCATTTTTCTTTTTTCAGAAAATTATGTCACTAGTATTTAATGGCATATTTAGTTCCTTTCCATAATGACTGACTTCTGCTTTTGTTCAAAGAATCATGGAATGCAAGATTGATAGTGACCTTGGAGTTCATCTAGTTCAACTCACTGTCCAGTACAGGAAAGCAGTATTTCACCCTCCCCAACAGATGTCCCTCTGTTTACATATTGAGCAAAAGAGACAAACTAGCTCCAGAGAGAGATTGTTCCATTGTTGAACAGCTTTTACCATTAGGCAGTTTTACCTGATGTGCACTCAAAATCTATTTTCTTGTAATTTAAACCCATCCTTTCTTGTTCTTTCTTCTGGAACAGCTCTGAATAATTCTTCCCTGTCTTCTGTATGACAACCCTTCAGATATTTGACTGCAGCTGTAATGTCTCCTTGCAGTCTTCTTTTCTCCAGGCTAAACACACTCAATGTTTAAAGACATTCCTTATAGGTTTGTTCTGACTAGCCCCTTCCTGATTGCTGTCCTCTGGATGCAGTCTGCTTTGTCAGTGTCCTTCCAAAAATGTAGTACCCAGAACTGAATGTAGTATTCTAGGCATGGCCTGACTTATGAGGAATAGAGAAGAACAGTGACTTCTTGACACTGTACAGCCTAGGATTGCATTTACTCTTTTTGCAGCTATATCACACTCTTGGCTTGTGATCCACTCAAATACTTTTTGCATGTACTACTGCTCAGTATAGTCCTCCATCATTTAGTCATACCTTTAATTTTTTCTATCCAAATGTAAGATTTGCATTTGTTCCTGCTGAAATTCATCTTGCTAGTTCCTGTCCTTTATTACAACTTTTCAAGATACTCCTGAATCTCGATACTATCCCCTGATGCTTGCTATCCCCTGATTTTTGTGATATCTGCAGATTTGATAATGATATTTTTAGCTCCTTATCCAAGTTATTTATAGTTATGTTGAACAGCACAGAGCCTAAAATGGAGTCCTGCAAAATGGCCAGTCAACATTTCCTTCCAATTCAGTGCAGAGTCATTGATGTTTACTCAATGTGTACAATTGTTCAACCAGCTCTATATCTCGCTAATGGTACCATGATCCAGCCCTCATTTTGTATTTTCTCTACTAGAATCTCATGGAAGAGATTCTCAAATACTATGTCAAATACTTTGCTGAAGTCAAGGTACACCATGTCTACCTCTTTCCTGTGGACAATTACACTCATCACTCTGGAGCCCTTGGTGCTCCCTGAGCTTGGTTGTTTGCTTGCAAACAGTTCATTACCCAATTAGGTAACATCATCAGTGCAAGAGTGTGTGTGGGGGGGGTGGGGGTGCGCCTGGTTTTTTTTTTTTTTTTTT